TCACCTCTTGGGGCTTGCTGGGGCTTAAGCCTAGTTATAGGAATAGAAGCAAAAATGAGTGGTGGGGGTGAGACCTGAGGACATTCAGCAATGTCTTAAAAAACATCTACTTCAGGCAATGCCCCAGGCGATTTCCCAGGCATTGCCCCAGGTGATATCTCAGACAAAGACTCTTCAGGCACAGGTGGGTTAATCTCATCAGATGAGGGCAAACGGGATAATGGTTTTACTGGGAACGGTGGAATAATCTTTTCAGATAGGAGTAAGAGGGCTGATTCTATTGGCAGGAGTGATTCAACAGAATTTAGAGGCTCAATGTCCTCAGCTTCCTGATTATCTGCTCATACGTCCCCATCCCAAATTTCAGGATCCCATTTCTTCCCAATCAATGCCCTCACTTTAACTTCAGGCACCATTTGTGTTTGGGAATTCAATTGGCGTTGTAATTCAGCCACTTTTACGATAAGACTCTGGGTTTGGTTTTCGGCAATATCGCTTTTGTTACTACAAGAAATAAGGCTTTCTTTCAGGGCACACATGGCAGCTTTCAGGTCTTGTATGCAGTGCTTGAGCTGTGACTCTGACACTTTGAGCTCATCCTTTCTTTTACCACTTTATCTAGAGAAAATAGGACCAAGAAGCTTCCTTATACTTTTCATTCTGAAAAAATTGTTGAAAAGTATCAAATACGTAATCACCCAGAGCTTGTCTCTCACAAATATTTGATCCAGTAGTGGTCATATTTTTGAATTTCAATTGCCACTTCATGCCATAGATTAGTCATGCCCTCTTTACTTCTAGAGGCTTAGCCTTTAAGATCAGCCAGACTTGAGAACCAATTCAGAAAACTCATCCTTGTGATTTTATTTCTCTACAACCACCCTCAGTACCAAATGTCTTAGACTGAGTTCTCTAGAGGAGCCAAAAAAAAAAAGCTGGCCCACGTCCTAAGAACCAGAGGTCAAAGGCTGAAGAGTTGGATGCAGAATCTAGAGACAGAGAGAGCTTTGCCAGAACATTCATATATATTGGATGCAAGCCACACCTCCAAAGGATTAGTTGCTCACATCAGATCACAAAATGGAGGATGACCACATAGTATCTGCCAAACTACTGAGAATCATGGCCTAGCCAAGTTGACACATAACCCTAACCATAACAGTTATCCTTTATATGAGTTACTACTTGGTGCTAACAAGTTGAGAAGACTAATCCTCTGTAGTCAATGCACTGTGTTCATGACTTACCTATTGCTCAGTTTTCTCATTTTCAAAGCAAGGCAATTGGCTGGATCAGTGTTTTCCAACAGTATGATGGAACCCATTAGTTGTTAGGCTGTAAAATCAACTTAGAGAATTGTAACCAGCATTTTAAAAATGGAATGGAATGGGATGGGATGGGATGGGATGGGATGGAATAGAGTAGAATGGAATAGAAAGGGGAAATATCAGAATGCATCAGCAGTAGTAAGGGGAAGTCTTGTTTGTGAAACTCTTGTTTCAGTCTTGAATATATATCCTGGGTTGCAGTGTAAAAAGTATTTCTTAGTTGAGGTTAAAAATCCCCAGAGAGATGAAAAGGTTCATTCAGCTCTCGCCTTCTAAAATACTGTCTTGGTCTCTCACTGATTTGGGGCTACAGCTGATCTGTAGCTTGCTTTGTGTGGGAACACTGGCTAAATCTGCCTTGGTGTGTGCTTGAAACTGTCATTCAGCAAGGGTTACTCCACCTCTAGTTGCTTCCATGCACAGACAGAACATTTCATTCACTGTGGCTCATTCCACAAGTCAGGAAAAGAAACCTGTCAGCTGTTCCTAAAACAAAGTCCCTCTTTGCTGACATTTGGACACCAGTAATTTATCATCATTGCTGGAGGGTGTATAATAGATAAACACATATTCCATTTGATTTTTAAATACCCATCATATTTTTATAATTATAAAATAACGTTCAATTATTGTACAAAACCCATGGCACAAAGGTTTGAGTTTTTCCTACATCTCTTGGGTCATTGTGTTGACCCAGGGAAGCAGTATACACAAGACAGCAAGTCTTACAATTCATGCATCAGCCAGCTCACTCTCTACTCATTTGTATAAATAGATTAAATCACTTCACAGTGTGAGGAAAAAAGACTTACGCAACTAAATTCTAAGAAGGCCTGGGAGGAGCAAGCAATGTGTGCTGAGTGCTGTGTGTGACTGATATCACGGACACAGCTCTGGGCTCACTGAGTAGAACTTTGACCAACCTGAAGGCAAGGTAACAACTCATACACTAAACTGTACCTTCTTTAAAAAGATTTTTGTAACTGGTGATGGGTATTGCTTTGAAAGTGTAGGGAAAACTATTTAGATGTAATCGAAGGAAAAGGACAATGAGAGCACCATGATGTGAAGAGGTAGGAGCAGGGATACACATTTCAATCAAGGCAGGGGGGGTTTCTTCCCAGGTACTTATGCTAATAAGCGAGCTTTTTGGTGTCATGACTTCTAATACGGTAGACATCCGTTTGTTCCGATCACCAGTCTTTATGCCTTGGTTAAGGTGAGGACTTAAAGATGACAGGACTGAGGCTGAATAAGTAATATGTAATGTCTATGGACACCCAAGGAGAAAAGTGTTATGTGGTACCAAAATTTAGACCCTCATTTTATAGGTTGTGTCTCTGTCTGGTAAATTACAGAGAAAACATGCTATACAGAAAATCAGGAAAATCGGGTTTTAGTTCTGAATTTGATGTCTTCTAGCTGAATGAACCCTGCGGTGTCTTATCTCAGTTTCTCCATTTGTAGAATGAACTGTGGGACCTGATACTATCCTTCCCAAATCTATGACTCTTCTTTGAGTTAAATCCATATTCTTATTTTCATTTTCTTGTGAACTTAAACCTCCTTATGCCCCCCACCCTTTTCTCCTCCTCCACTCCATTCCCACCTAGTTCTAATATGACAACTAGGCACCAGAGAAATACGTGCTCAGAGACTTTCGCCTCCATGTTGATCTGAAAAGAGAGTGGTAGCTTTTCAAGCAAGGGGTAAAATTTCTGCTGCCTATGAAAAGCCAACTAGCCAGCCAGCCAAGCTATTTAAGCTTGCTCTTTTCTGTATAGGAATTCTGAAGGCTGTTTTGTTAGAACCACATCTTTAGGAAAAGCTGGGAAAAATTGTTGCTGGACCTCTGGATATTGGCAGGACAAAGTATTAATTAAATCCTTCAGAAGAAAGAATTATGACTTTGCTATTAATATTCTCACCCAGACCACAAGTTTTCCTTTTCATGTGTCTTTACAAAACTTAACCACATTGAGTCTCTTTTCCCTTTTGAAATACGCAGGGCAAACAAGGCATTTTCCTAAGACTTTTGCTCAAAGTGCTTCACAGACGATTTAAATCAATTCTATGAAGTAAGGGTCATGAGCTTTACCATATACAGGTGGTAACCAAACTTTTTACCAGCAAAAGCCACTTTTATTATTCTCCTCCCCCATGGATCACATGCTTTAAAATATTTTGGATGTAAAAGTGCATTTGATAAATAATGGTTTTGTTTCTCTTTTTTATTAATGAAAGACTATCAGATTTTCTAATTTTATGATTAATATTAAATAAAGGATTATTGCATTGAGTTGAATTAATCCAGTAAAAAGCAAAATATACAAATACATACACTTGCTCTGTTTGGCTAAGCAACTTTATTGAGTGTGCACACACAATTTGTATTGGACTTTGCCAGTAGTGACATAGGGATATTTTTTAAAACCTCGCAGATTCCTCTGAAGTACATAGTCTTAGGTGTTCTTTTCTGAAAGTTGCAGGAGTTTAAATTCAAATAGTAGAGTCACCCAGCTCTACTATTGAAATCCCCTAATTCCCTGATCATAGATTAGATATTTCAATGACTTCTAATAAATTAGATTTTACAAGACGGTCTTGTAAAATCTTAAATCTTATAAGTAAACACTGTAAGAGAAAGAGACAGAGAATGCCCTGGCATGTGGAAAGGGAATGTGAAATGCTTTTAAAGAAAAAAGAAGTATATATCCATGCCCAGAGAACCCACCTGAGGATTCCTGCGTGGGCTGTGTCATTTCCCAAGACATCTATGATGAAGAAAATGCATTGGCCTTGGAGCTAAAGAACATGCCTAATTCTAAGTTCCATATATAGAGTGGTAATAATAAGAAGCCCTGGTGGTGTAGTGGTTAAGAGCTTGGCTGCTAACCAGAAGGTCAGCAGTTTGAATCCAGCAGCCGCTCCTTGGGAACCCTATGGGGCAGTTCTACTCTGTCCTCTAGGGTCGCTGTGAGTCGGAATCAACTCAATGGCAATGGGTTTTTAATAATAAAATGTTTTTGCTGGATTCTCTGAGACACAGACTCTGAGATGAAGTGCCCTGAAGCTGGAATAATCCAAGAAAACTATCCCACCAGAGGCAAAGGGGCCTTTATTTTCCATGCTGACCAGTCGTGAATGTGTGCTGCCCTTAGGTGCCGTGGGTCTTCATGGCTACCGCAATTCCCAGCGAAGGACTCTGCTTCTCTCATTCCCAGAGAAGGAAGATGAATGCCCTGGTCCTGGAGGTGGATCTGAGGATCCCAACAGCCCCCTGCAAATATCCACCTCTTGGATTTGTTGTGGGAGTTAAATGAGAAAACGCAGTTGAAGGCTCCTGGTTTAAAGCGCATGCTCAGCACATACGTTTATGGAGTCAGGACATGCTGACTTGAGCTTTTAAGGCAAACCACTCAGTAAACTGGACCTATCTCATACAGGATCATAATACTAGAATGTGGCAGAGGTGGAAACACAGTTGATTCCAAAATCTCTGGGTTTTTTGTTGTTGTTGTTTTTTTTTTTTTTTTTTTGCTTCCATAAAGCCCCTCCTTGAGCATTTATGTTTCCAAAGTAGAGGTAAGTCTTGCCATAATTTGAAATAAACTATTAAGTAGCAGTGTCTTGACCTCCATGTTTTTGTTAATGTTTGCTTTTGTATTCCAGACACCAGGTAGAGCAATGGACTCACTCAGTGCTGCAAACGCACGGTTCTGCTTTGATGTCTTCAAAGAGATGAGCTATGACCATACGGTTGAGAATCTCTTCATTTCTCCTTTGGGTCTCCTGTCCACACTGGCTGTAGTGCTCTTTGGGGCCAGAGGCGACAGTGCATCTCAGATGGAAGAGGTAGGTCACAAACAAACCTCTAGCCATGTGTAGAGGACAATCAAGTGATGATTTCAAGCACTGTCTTCTATGGAGGCTTTATAGATGCCCCGCTATGTAAACATAAGAGAATGCCCACCTTCACTTAAGGTCACCTATGAAATTGCCTATTTCAAAAGGGATGCAAAAGGTAAGAGTTCTCCCAGCTCTGTTCTGAGGAGCAGGGGATGAGAGGCACAGCTGAGTACTGAACAGATAGAATCACTCAATGAGGCCAACCTGGCCCATGGCAAAACTGAGGTCCCCATCCTCTCTCCCCCACCCTGTGAAACCTTAGCTTCCTAGGGTCTTCCTGCTGTGAGTCAGGATCCCCAAGGTGCTTCCCAAATTCAGAAGCTTCTAACATCCTCCCAGATGGGACTCACTCCTTCTTTGCTGTTTCATTGAAATGCAACCCTTTGCAAGGCAAACTGGAAGTTATCTGTTTTGAGATACTAATGGATAAGTGACATCAGATGATAAGAATGTAGTAAGCATTCAGGATTGTGTTAAATTGTGTCCTAGGCACAGTATGTGCCCACTGCTTCCAGGATCTAGCCCTTAGGAGGCTTTCAAAGCTGTGTTTGACTGTTGACTAAATAGTTGTTGTTTGAATAAATGAATGAATATGGAACATGTAAGGAATATCAAGGAGTTTACAATCTAAGGGAAGAATTTATAATTACATAAATTTCCAACGGGATCGTCAACTTTACAGAGAATTTCAGGTGAGTGGAAGCAATATTTCTTGGTGGGGATCTTTCAACATGCCTTCCTCATTGCTCACTGATTTTATGGGAATGATTAACTAACGTAATAAGGTTTCTCTCAATTTAGGATTTGAATTGGAAATTAATTTGAAAGGCTGGAGTTCAACTCTAAGTTTAATAATGTTTTTAAACATAAGAAAAATTAAATATAAAAGCTCATGTTCCATTTGATTCTCTTTGCATTCATTGGGAGAATAGGTCTCACCCACAATAGGTGCTCAGTAAATACATGTTTGTGGAGATAGAGACATAGCTGAGAATGAGGAAGCTCTGGGAATCTTTCCAAGTTGTCTGGAATGAGGACTCACAGAGCCACACCTCGCTCTCCCCCTCCTGCGTAAGAGGCGACGAGCTGGCTGTTGCTCTAACCACACCTGTGTGGGCTTTAGGTAATGCAACCAGAGAGACTGTGTGGCCCACCGTGCTGAGGGCAGAGGGACTGGAAATGCTTCCTTGTCTCTTATGACAGTCACGCAGCTAGAAGAGAACCAAGGAACTCAAATGCTTTTTCCTTGGTGCGTCTAGCACAGAATGCAGAAAAATCTCTCATCTTCTCATCTTCGTAGTGCTTCTCTCCTACAACTTTGAAAGACTGGATCAAGCGCTCAAAACTTCAGGTTCAACAATTGTGCTTTTTTTATGATGATGGAAGCAACACCAGAGGCACCATTCATGCAGAGTCCCTGAATTATGGACCCATATTATGTCCTCAAGGAGCCCTAGTGGCGTAGTGGTTAAGAGCTCGGCTACTAACCAAAAAGGTCAGCAGTTCAAATCCACGAGGCACTCCTTGGAAACCCTATGGGGCAGTTCTACTCTGTCCTATAGGATCACTGTGAGTTGGAACCGACTTAACAGTACCTAACAACAACAACATTATGTTCTCAAGGAGCCCTGGTGATGCAGTGGTTAACTGCTCATCTGCTAACCGGAAGAGCAGCAATTCAAACCCACCAGCACGCTCTGCAGAAGAAAAATGTGGCAATCTGCTTCCATAAAGACTACAGCCTTGGAAACCTTATGGGGCAGTTGTACTCTGTCCTATAGGGTCGCTATGAGTTTTAATTGACTCGACCAACATGAGTTTGGAGTTTTGTGGGTTTTTTTTTTTTTTTGGTTATTATGTCCTCATGTTGTTCTCAGGCCATCTCAGAGCTGGAAGAAGCCACAAAATTCCAAGTCTGTACTCTGCTTAAATCCCCTCTGTTACACATCAGACAAGAGGTTGCTCAGACTATTTGAAGTCCTCTGATGAGGCAGAACACAATGGTGTGAAGGAGCTTATTAATAACTGTTCAGACAGCTCTAAATATTAGAAAGTTCTTCCTCATCTTGCGCTAAAGTCCACCTCTCAGGAACCATTGTTCTTTTATCATGTTCCTGCTCTTAAAAACCACAAACAAATGAAACCCTTTTCCACCCGTCCTTTAGGAGAGTTATAATATCTGCCCTACATACATTACCTCTTTACCCCATTTCTGCCCTCAAGACAACAAAACATGTTTAAACCATTCACTCATAAATATTCGAAGAGAGTTACAATGTTTTATTTCAGCTGTTCTCTGATGGAGGCCTTAGGAAATTATGGTAAGACCTCAGCTGAGTCAGTAAGTTGCCTTGTGACTATAGGACTGTAGAAACATTAACTTTTAGTGGAGAACACAATACCAACTACTGGAAACTCAGAGGGATACTGTGAGCATCAAATGAGGTAATGTGAAAACAACCACCTGTTCATGAATTAAAATAATAACTATTGTCTGCTCAGTGAATGACTAATGACACTAACTGCTTGCAAATGATACTAAGATTTACTCATTTATCCACACAATCATTCAGTCTTCATCCAAAAATATTTATGGGGTTGCTACTATGTTTCACAACTGGGAATGCAGGGATGAATAAAATTAAGGGACAATACAAAAGAGAGAGCCTGGGTTTATTTTAAAACACATTGTTAAACCTTCAGCTCACATTCTATCACAAAGATTATGAAGGTAAATATACGTCTAAATGAAGTAGCGCCCAAGGAGCTCTGGGGGCGCAGTAGTTAAGCACTGAAAGGTCGGTGGTTCCTACCCATCAGCAGCTTCTCTGCAGAAAGATGGCGGCAGTCTGCTTCCGTAAAGATTACAGCTTTGGAGATCCTGTGAGGCATTTCTACTCTGTCCTATAGGTTCACTATGAGTTGGAATCGATTCGACAGCAAAGGGTTTGTTTTTTGTTTTTTGAGGTTCTACCTGCACGCCATCTCCAGAACTCTTTAACCCTTAGACTCCTGCCCAAGAGCACTTGAAATATTTTGTTTTGTGGACTCACCTTTTCTCTTTGAAATAACTTTTTTTTTTCCTTAACGAGGAGCAAAACTAATAAACTTACAAGGGAAAGGGGGAGTGAAAAATAGAAAGTTCATTAAAACGTAAAGAGCGTACCATTTATAATAAGAAAATGGTTTGCTGGGTCACTGTCTGGTCTTTTGGAGTAGCATTTGCAAAACCTTTAAAAATACTTCTGTGCTTCCCCATTGTAGGTGCTCCACTTGGATGAATTAAAGAGAACTGCAAATTCTTCAAATGCAGAGGTAGGTATAGAGCTTCCGCTTTTCTTTTTACCTCTTTCATGGCATGCACCATAAGAACTAAAGATTAAAGAAAATGAGCAGCGTACTTATTCCAGACCTCCTCTGAGTTCAGACTATAGCTAGATACCATCATTTGGTTAGCAGCCATATGTAGCAACTCCTAAGCTGTGCTGTGTTCAAAGAATTCATCACGTGGAGATTTGGAAACCAGAGGTGACAAAATGAAAAATGTCCAAAGAATCGAGCTAAAGACTATTAGTCTTTAAGAAGAAAGGCTGTTCCCTTCCTTGAGTAACAAGTGTAGAAGAGAGAATATTCTCAAGGAGATGTCATAATGGAACTCCAAAAACCGCCCAGAGAAATCATCCATGACGCAAGGCACTTCAAACTGCACCTGGAGCATAGTGAGTGCTCAGTAAATATGAACTGTTTTCTTTTAATGAGAATCGAAAAAAAAAGTAGATGAAAATGGGAACGCTAATCACAAACATGCAAATACCATTTTTGGAAAATGTAACCGTATAAAGGTATGTTTACCTTTACGAGTTTTATTAAGTGTTTTTCCATATTGGTAACTTCTAGGGAAAATAGGTAATGCATACCTTCATTTGTCTAAGGCAGTCTGTGACTTCTCAGCAGATGTGGCCTTCCCTACTATTCACTATGGTAGGGTTAATAAGACCAAACGTTGTTACCTGAACGTTTTTACCTAAATTTATTACATATTTTGTATATGTTACAAAATATAAAACATTTTTTTTTTCCTGATGCCAACTATGCTATGAATAATCTGTCAGGATGTGTGCCCTGGGCCAACTGGTGGAGGAGACAGAGCAAGTCCTGACTCAGGTAGGGGCGGTGCCGGGTCGTCAGGTACACCTGTGAGTGTGACCATACACGTGGTCAGATTGCCAGGCTACCCATTTTGGTGAGAGGGAGGAGTTCTAATATGTACAAATAGTGGAATGAGTAGTCTTTGATTTTATTTTTTTCTGAAATAACATGTCGTAATGCAAACTAGTGGAGCCCTGGTGGTGCAGTGGTTAAGCATTTGGCTGCTAACCAAAAGGTCAGCAGTTCCAATCCACCAGCTGCTCCTTGGAAATCCTGTGGAGCAGTTCTACCCTGTCCTATAGGGTCGCTATGAGTCAGAATCGACTCAACAGTAACAGGTAATGCAAATTGAGGAGCACTGGTGGTGCAATGGGTAAGCACTCGGCTGTTAACCAAAAGGTGAGTGGTTCGAACCCACCAGCTGCTCTGCAAAGAAAGATGTGGCAGCCTGCTTCTGTAAAGATTACAGCCTAGGAAACCTTATGGGGCAGCTCTACTCTGTCCTATACAGTTGCCATAAATCAGAATCAACTCGACGGCAACGAGTTAATGCAAACTGAGGAGTCCCTGGGTGGTGCAAATGTTTAATGCGTCCTGCCGCTAACGGAAAGGTTGGAGGTTTGAGTCCTCCCAGAGGTGCCTCAGAAGAGAGGCCTGGTGATCTACGTCTGAAAAATCAGCTGTTGAAACCCTGTGGAGCACAGTTCTACTCTGACACACATGGGGCATTGACTCAAGGGAAACTGGTTACTGATTTTGTTGACTATATACTGAAGAGCCTCTGATCTATCCTCAGTCGATACCTAGGTGCTAGATACTACACTCCCCCATTTTCAAGTATTTTTTATCTACATCTTAGTGTGGACAAGATACAGGAGTCCAGTCACACATCCAAGCCCTACTCTCTGAAATCAGCAAGTCCAGTGACAGTCAAGTTCACATGGCAAATGGAATGTTTGTAGATGCAGCCCATCCGTTTCTCCCGGTGAGTCAAAATAAAACATGTTTCCACAAGTAATGCAGGTAGAAGCCTTTCATTCCTGTCTTTCCATTGTTTGTGCTACCAAAACTATAGGGAAATATAAAGTACATATAAAATATATATATCATATGTCATATGTTATATGTTATATATAGAACAGAAAGTATATTATATATATTTTTAATTTCATCTAGAAAATTATAACATGGTTTAGGATTCTAACATCTGATGCTAGTTTGTACCAAGTTCAGTTATGTTTCAGAAGCCTAAAACACATAAATTTTACATATTTTATGATTAAAAACAACAACACTGACAAGATTTTGACATCAGTAGTCAAAAAGGAATTGATGTTTTGGGACTCCAGATTTAGGATATTGATTATCCTAAGACTGATTATCCTAATTTTTAACTTATGGGTCGAAGGTACAATATCAGAGGCTGAAAAGAAAGAGAAATGTCCTTGTCACTAAAATAACATCCTTTAGTAATTTGTTCATTTTACTTAAATACCTGTCTCAAACATGAAAAAGGTATACAGTTTTATAAATTGAGCCGACTTCTGCATAACAGTATTTTATATATTTCTGCTTCCATTTACCTTTAATTCCTACCATGAAGGTTTAAGTGTATTAAAATTATAATTTATTTATTATGCCTCTTTTTCTGTTCTTACTTTATAGAAATATTTAGACTGTATTGAACAACTATACAAAGTGAAACCTGAAAATGTGGATTTCAAAAACAACATAGAAGAAGCCAGAATGCAAATTAACTCATGGGTTGAAAACAAGACAAAAAGTGAGAGACCTAAAACTTCCTTTGTTCCTTCGTTCCTTCCTTCGCTTCTTCCTTCCTTCTTTCTTTCAGTGCTAGGAGGAGAGTCACAGGAAATGAAACATTAATGATTAATGTACTAGTATCTATAAACCGCTTCTTAGCTGGGTAAATCAATCAAGTTACCTAAATTAATCAGGTTTCTTAACATCAACAGGATATCTAACTCAAAAGACTATCTGTAAAATTGTAGTAATAGCAAATGCTTATCTGGGGCCTACTCGACATCACATACTGCCTAAGTGTTTTACATCTATTATTTCATCCACTCAAAATATTATGAGGTAGGTACTATTATTATCCTCATTTTACAGACGAAGACACTGAAGTCTAGAAAGTTTAAATTCCTTGATCAAGGTTACATACTCACAGGGGGAGATCCTGAATGCAAGCTCCAGGTTCCATGCCCTTAACGCTAGGCCATCCTGCCTCATGGGGAAGATGCAGATGAAATTAGTAATTTCTCACTCATGGAAATCCTGCAATATCAACTGGCTGAGAGCTAATTCTTTTAACAGCTGTATAAAAATTTGTGGTACAGGTAGATCAAAATTTATTAAGCGATACTAAAATATTGTATTGGTACAATCTGTGGGCTAGATTCTCAGAAGCAAGATTGCTGGTCAAATAAATCTAAATTTTTACAGTCAAATATGACTATCTTCTCTCCTATAGCTTCCAGGTAACCAGAATTATTGAGGAAGGTCTTTCTCACTCTAAGACTGCATGTAAGCAAATATGCTAGATTTTTATTGTCCTTCCTTTTACATTTGAGTTGTTCCTCCATCTGTAATTCAAATTATTAGTGAAGTAATTTTATTGACGGTAGAGTAGCAAAGACGTATTAACAGTATAACATTTATTAACTGTATAAAACAAGAAAATTTTATCATCAATTTTATACATTGCCATAAAATAAGCAGATGGGTTATACACTCACTCCGTTTTCTTCTGCACCTTACATTGTGAATCTATAAAGAATTGTGAATGCTTTACATCTTTGCTCAGAAGTCTTTTTGCCTCATCTGAAGATATCAAGTGTCAATTACTCATACCAACTCAAAAATGATCTAGAACGGAAGCAAAAGCAGCCAAAATAGTTCCTACTCCACGGATGATCATAAAGTTCTCTGATATGCTGCTACTAAGTGACTATACAATTCTAAGGTGTGTCCTTACTGTGTTCCCTCCTCAAAGGTGAAATCAAGAGCCTCTCATCATCCGACGACATCATGTCTTCCGATCAGTTGGTGCTGGTCAATGTCATCTCCTTCCGAGGGAACTGGAAACATGCATTTCAGAAAGACCAAACCAGAACTATGGCTTTCAGGCTGGATGAGGTAGTCTCATGGTTTAATTTCTTTTTCTCTTAAAGGAATCCTCAAAAATTTTACCCTTAAAATAAGTTATTTATAGCTTTAACCAAAACAAAACCAAACCCTTTGACAGCGAGTTGATTCCCACTCATAGCGACCCTACAGGACACAGTAGGGCTGCACCTTAGGGTTTCCAGGGAGTGGCTGGTGAATTCGAACTGCTGACCTTTTGGTTAGCTGCCAAACTCTTAATCCCGCGCCTCCAGGGCTCCATTTATGGCTTTAGGTAGGCAAATTAATTCCCAAATGACTAGCCTACCTACACACTCAACAAAATGCAGAGCTAGATTTGCAACACTTTTGTTTTCTTTTAAATCCGGCATAGTATATTTACCCTATTTAAAAATAGAAATGCTATTTTTAGCAGTACAGCTTTACAATTAAAAACTTATGTAAAATAGAGACCTTGAAAGGGATTAAAGTAGGTTCTGGGTTAGGGCTAAGCTTAAACCTTTATTAAGCAATTCACTTATTGCAAACTGGAAATGATGTCAGGTGATAGGGGAGAACTATATTAGACATTCACAGAACTCACCGACAGATCATGTGTAAAACGCGTATGATCTCTTTAAGAAGCAAAGTAAAACTGATGAACAAAATTCACGGTCAAAATAAAAGGTTCCAGGTATGCTACCCTTCCACTAACCACAGTCTTCCCAACTTCTTTTCTTAGTGCCCCCAAAGTGTCCTAAAAATCAGGTTGCAGCCAAAATAAGATACATTGTTTAAGTAAGAAATAATGGATCTGTATATGTTATCATAAGTCCCTATGCTGTCAAATATATTTTCTCTAGCCCACCAAGAAATACTTGAAATTATAGGTAAATTTAAAATTTGTTGTGGCCAACTGTAAAAGCAGCAGAAAGTTTATATTTCTGAATAAATACTTTCTACGTAAAATAAATACCAAATAACTTTAAGGAGAAATGTAATCCTTCAGCCAAAAACATTAGTCATATCTGGAAGTATGTAATAATATCTTTCCAAGGAATATTGCCATCAGATTTTGAGGTCATAAAAAATAGTGAAATTATATATATATGTATGTGTGTGTGGGTTTTTTCAAAAATGTGGATTCCAGAGCCACCTTTCAGGATATTCTGATTTATAAGAAGGGCTTGAGCATATCTATTTTTAAATAGGTCCTCTAAGTCCTTCCAAGGATTAGCCTGGTTGGGGAACCCCAGGATATGTAAGATGGAGGGAATGTTTTAGCAGGATTTACAGAGAAATATCTAAAGGAGTAAGCACTCTCCAAAGCAAATAGATTTTGCTGAATGGTTAACAAAACAGAATCTGTTATTTCACAGTAAAATCTGGTCCATTGGTCTATACACACAATGAAGGCCTCTGTTACAGGCATCCTTAACCTATTAATTAGCATTTCAAAGAGCAAAGCAAAAATATGGTATGGTCGTAACTAAATTTCCATAAATTGGCCTCATTATACGGAACCCACAGAGCATTTTGTTACATCTTTAGCTATCTTGTAACTCCAAAAATGACCAGAATCGGTTCAATGCTGCAAATCAGATTTTACTTGAGCTGCAGAGATTTCTAATTATATTCTTGAAAGGACCGATTTGACCTTTAACAATGGTTATCCTGATAAGATCTTATGGTGTGTGTATCTCTCAGCCCACTGGAGTGAATTAACTAGTTCTGAGCATCAAAATCCCTAGGTGGCCCAAACTGTTAACGTGCTTGCTGCTAACCCAAAGGTTTGCTGTTGGAGTCTATCCAGAAGCACTTCTGAGGAAAGGCCTGGTGATCTACTTCTGAAAAAGCAACCATTGGAAACCCTATGGAGCACAGTTCTACTCTGACACACATGTGGTTACCATGAGTAGGAGTTGACTCAATGGTAACTTGTTTGGGGGCATCAAAAATGTACACTGAATAAAATTAATCCATGGGGAGAATTAAACATTTTGTACTACAGTAGCTACTTTCTTAAAGAAGCCCTGGTGGCTCAGTGGTTAAAGGGCTTGGCTGCTAATTGAAAGGTCAGTGGTTTGAACTCAACAACTCACCAGCTGCTCTGTGGGACAAAGATGTGGCGGTCTGCTTCTGTAAAGATTACAGCCTGGAAACCGTACGGAGCAGTTCTACTTTGTCCTATACGGTTGCTATGAGTTGTAATTGACTCAACGGCAATGGGTTTGGTTTTGGGGTGTTTTGGCTACTTTCTTTAGGCTTTCACCCTCTTTAAATGATCATTAATGATCATTGACATTTCTGTGGAAAGATGAATTTTTTGTCATCTCGTGTGGATGATTTTGGAGGAGGGATATAAATGTGGATTTTCTATGTCTTAAATGAAAAAAAAAAAAAGACTGGCCTTGTTACTCACTATTTTTTCTTTGCAGTTACATAGCAAACCCGTGCAGATGATGCAGCTGCAGGGTCGCTTCAAGCTGGGCTCCATAAAGGAGCCTCGGGTGCAGGTCCTGGAGGTGCCCGACGTAGACGGTTACCTGAGTATGGTCATCATCCTACCCAGAGAGAACCTGGGCCTGGGACAGGTAAAATGCTGAGCTTTTGCAATCACAGGCACGAGACAAAGGCTCTGTGCTTGAGAATTACACATGCAGAAAGCCTAAGGATTTAACGGGAACGGCTTACACACCTGGGAGTCCCTGGGTGGTGCAAACAGTTAATGTGGTCAGCTGCTAACCTAAAGGTTGGAGGTTTGAGCCCACCTACAGGCACCTCAGAAGAAAGCCCTGGCCATTTACTTCTGGAAACACATGGGGTTGCCATGACTTGGAATTGACTCCATGGCAACTGGTTACTTTTTGTTTATACTACTTCAGGTAGTGTTATGTCTGTTTAAAAAAAAAAAAAGCAGATCCTCCACGGCAAACGCCAGTAAACACCAACACACTTAAGGCATATTGCTTGTAACTGTAAAAGTTTTAGGTTTTTAAAACATAGTCACATGCATTTTCTCTTTCGGTCCTCACAGGATTTTTGTTTGTTTTCCATGCATTTTTTTTTTTTTTAATATACTACACCTTGACATCTCTCTCAGACCTGCCGCCAATCAACTAAATCTATTTCCACCAACACCCAAGGCCAAAACATGCAGACTCAATGCTGCCTCTTTTTTTTTTTCCTTCCTGTTTCTCTGGTACTTTCCTCTGAGTCCCATGGACCCTCTTGTTCCACTGTGTGTTCTTGCTCTTGGCATTGCAATGGGTCTAACAATTTCTCAGCCGCTTTCTTCAAATTCCTGTATTTCCTCCATTTATCTTTTTTTTTTTTTTTAATACTTGCCTGGAGTTCAGCACCACTCCCCCCTGCTTCTCTCCTGCTGAGGACTCCTCATCCTCCCTCATCCTTCCTTCATCCTTGCTTGCAAGGATCCTTGCTCGTCTTGTGAGGCCAGCTAGACAGGCACTAGTTGCCCATTTGTCCTGGAAGAAACCGGGAGACTAAGCCAGTTTATTATTTACTCAAGATTTCGTAGCAAATTAGTGTCTGTAGTATCATTGGACCCCGTTCTCTGGCTTCTCAGCCCACTCCAGGCTTGGTGTTAAAATACCTGCTCACATTCACCAAGGCCGTGGCTTAAAATCAAAATCTCAGCTCTTATATGCATGTATATACACGTACAAATAAACCAAGGTAGAAATAATATGATTTTTATATGCTATGAAGAAAAATAAAAGATGGAAATGAGGTAGAGAGTGACAGGCTTGGGGCACATCTGTTTTAGAAGGATGATTAGAGAAAACCTTTCGGATAAAAGTGAGATTTGAGTTATAATTGCTAATTAATAATTGTTAACGTTATTTATTATTATCATTAATATTATTACCTTCCTTTTCCATGACTATTGTTGTGTGCCATTGAGTCAATTTCGACTCATGGCGACCTTATATGACAGAGTAGAACTGCCCCATAGGGTTTCCTAGGCAGATCACCAGGTCTTTCTCCTGTGGAGCGGCTGTGGATTTGAACCCCCGACTTTTCGGTTACCACCTGAGCGCTTAACCATCATGCCACCAAGGCTCCTTTCCATGGCTTAAACAGTGTAAAAAACACTGGATGGGTGGGTGACAGAATTAGAATTAAACCACAATTTGCCGCAATTGCAACTTAGCCATGATTTTGCTACAGACTCACTGTAGGACAAAGGGTCAGTCATTCAGCCTCTCCAGACCTCAGTTATTTTATCCATACAATGAAGGGCTTGAATGGGGGGCAAAGTAAATGATTTCTAGGGTTCTTTATAGCTCTTAAATTTTATGATCTTATGAAAAATCAATGAAATGTCATCCATCTAACACAATGTACATAGTTATGGTATCAACACTTTGTGGCTGAATTTTAATAGACTTGACCTGGGTTATAAAAATGTGACATTTAAAAAAATATTAAGAGCTCTGAAAAATAGGAAAACTCTGAAGTGCATTTACAGTTTGATATAATGATCTTAATGAGGAAAGAGTTGGGGAAAGGAGTCTAGATCTTCATAGCCACCTAACTTTCTCCTGTTAGAATGCTTAACATTAATTCACCGCTGTGGATGGGGGACAGTCATCCCAGGTTTCTTAAATGATGACGAGTTGAAGGTGGTTACTCATTGGTATATGGTGAATGTCAACCCCACAAGAAATGATTTCTTTTCCTTGAGGTGAGGTTGCATGGTTGGTGTCTGGGATGCCTGCCTCCCCATAGATTCTGTCCCCAAAATAATCTACATTAAGTCCCTGCAACTGGAGGACAACTGGAATGAGGAGAAGCCAAAAAAGATGTGGTGTGGGAAATGGATGAGGAAAAGGGAGGTGACTTCAGGAGTATGCTGATTTTACTAAAATATTTGGTTGCCATATGAAAGAAGGAATGGACTAATTTTGCATGGCTCCCAGACTGAGAACTAAAACTGCTGTCGTTGTTGTGTGCCATCGAGTCAGTTCTGACTCATAGCAACCCTATGTGACAGACTAGAACTAGGCTTTCCTAGGCTGTAATATTTATGGGAGCAGAGCAGCAGATTTTTTCTCCCAAAGTGTTGTTGGGTGGGTTCGAACTGCTGACCTTTCAGTTAACAGCCAAGTGCTTAACCATTGCACCCCCAGAGCTCTGAGAACTAAAACTAATAGGTAGAAATTACAGGGAAGCAGATTTCTGCTTAGCGTGGGACAGGCCTTTCTTGCAAGCTGAGCTGTGCGACCAGGGATCCAGACTGTTTCATAATGAAGTGGTTACTGGCATAAGAACATCTCAGGAAAATGCTGCATGGGTGTCTCAAATACTGCAGGAAAGAGTCTTCCAAGGTGTCTATCAAATTGAACATTATTTGATTCTAATGATCTAGAAACCATCACCTGTCTGTCAGTTTGTGGTACTGTGATGGTGTGCATGTTGCTATGATGCTGAAAGCTATGCCACCTGTATTTCAAATACCAGCAGGATCACCCATGGTGGACAGGTTCCAGTGGAGCTTCCAAACAAAGACAGACCAGGAGGAAAGGCCTGGTGATCTACTTTCAAAAATTAGCCAATGAATCACAATGAATGGATCAAAAATTAGCCTTATGGATCACTACATATATTGTCTGATATAGTGCTAGAAGATGAGCCCTCTAGGTTGGCAGGCACTCACAATAGCCGCAACAACAGACTCAAACATGTCAATGACCATGAAGATGGCACAGGACCGGGCAATGTTTCGTTCTGTTGTTCAGGGGCTCACCATGAGTCAGAGCTGACTCAAGGGCAGCTAACAACCACGACAATGATCTAGAAATGTTCATAGAAATGCGGTCTCTATGAATATCTGACTAATGAGAATTTTGGGTTGAGTTGCAGTAGAAAATTATTTTACTCCACGTAGAATTTAATTCATGTTGTTAGAGTTGGAGGATCTCAGGTTCCAGAGATATCTTTTAATGTGGCCAACAGAAAAGGGTAGGCACTTATACAAAGAGTACGGTTATAATACAAAAGTTGTACAATTTATAGAGGCACCATAAAAGGAAGAAAAATAGAAATTCCCCAAGGTGGTTTTTTTTTTTTTTGCAAGTGACTCTTGGACTCCAGGGCTCCATGCTCCTGGCTTTGATTCTTGCAGGCATTGCATTTTCCCCACTTTCTCTGATGCTTTAGGTACAGCGCTTAGAATCTTCTTTCCCAAATGGCAGTGAGATGTCACTTTACTTATTCATAGCCTCACCTACGGCCCTTAGAATATTTCCCATTTTGGTATACTTTATTCGTTTTCATTTTCCTTCCTGCTTTCTTTTCATAGGTCACCAGAGAAATCACTTATGAGAAACTGAAAACCTGGGTCAGCTCACCCAACATACAAGACACTGCTGTGGATCTGCGCCTGCCCCGGCTCAGGCTGGACAAGTGCCAGGAAGACCTCACTTCCACATTGGCGGCCTTGGGAATGACTGATATCTTGGACCCCTCAGTGGCTAACTTTTCTGGCATAAGTGCAGGAAGAGGCCTCGTAGTCTCCAAGATAATCCAGAAGGCCGTTCTAGAGGTTACTGAAGGTGATTCCATGTTAGCACTTAACAACTCAACAGGCCAAGTGGAAAATCCCGAAATCTTCCAGGTGGATCGTCCTTTCCTCTTCTTTATCCTATGGAAGAAAACACAGACAATTCTTTTTTATGGCACAGTATTCAACCCTTAAGAAAGGGAACAAATTTATACTCAACTCACTTTCTAATTCTTCAAAATGGCTGGATTTTAGAATTAACACAATTTGTAGAATTCTCACAGTATAGGTACAGCTAAAGGGATAAACTATGATTTTTACCAATAGTATTCTTTCATCTTTACCATGTGGAATGTCCATCCCATCTCTCTGTGGTTCTGTTTACATTGGTTAAGCAAGTTATAGCATGCCATTAACTGTATTCACTAAAGAATTAAGACCAACACCACTTCTTTCTTATACCTTATCCAGAACCTCATTGATAGGTTGTTAAAATTCAGAATGCCTTTTTTCCATGGAAACAATATTATTCGGCATGATTAGGTTACCAAGCTAGTTATCCAAACGTTGTTTATCTCACCTGCAGCTGAACTAATGATATTAGGAAGAGGAGCTAACCCTCACTGGGTGTATGGTATGTTCCAGGTACTCTGCTAAGCACGTCACGTAGATGACCTTATTTAATTCTCACCCAAACCCTGAGAGGCAGCGATTATTATTGTCTCCATTTTAAAGACAGGAAACTGAGACTTAGGTTTAGGAATTTACCCAAGAACACACAAGTGGCAAGTAACAGACTGGATTTTCAAACTTGGAAGGTTTGATACAAAACCCCAACTCTTAGCCACGCCCTAACCCTGCCCTACTCACAAGTGTGTTCTGAGACTCAGCCAGGGCCCCTGTGATAGATGATGACGCAGAGAGAAAAAGAAGAGAGTTGTAATCCTCCTTTCTCTCTTCTAGGACCAGGCATAGCTTAGAAGTAACATTTGTAGAACACTTTCAAAGAAGTTTCATATCTGAACACATTTAATAGGCAAACAGAGTTTTATTTCATGTTCATTTCCTTTCTCTCTGCCTCTGGCCACTTCTTAGTCTCACTTTCTCACCCTCAAGCTCTGCTTTCTCCCGGCCCCCAGGTGCCCATAGTCTTAGGATTCCCCTCCAGGGGAATCTTTCGAGACACCTCAGTCCCTGGCCAGCGTCACAGTGGAACAGGACAAAAAGAGTCCTGGATTTGGAGTCAGCAGAGCTAAGCTGAAGGAGTCCTAGTTATGCAACTGTAAAGTGCTCAGCTGCTAACTGAAAGGTTAGCAGTTCGAACCCACTCAGCGACACCATGGAAGGAAAACTTGGCAATCTGCTTCTGTAAAGATTACAGCCAAGAAAACCCTGTGGGGCAGTTCTACTCTGCCTACGCGAGCTGAAAATCGACTCAACTGCACCTAAGAACAACAAGATCCATCTATATGGGATTGGAGCCCTGGTGGCACAGTGGTTAAGAGCTAAGGCTGCTAACCAAAAGATCAGCAGTTTGAATCCACCAGCCACTCTTTGGAAACCTTATGGGGCAGTTCTACTTTGTCCTATAAGGTCACTGTGAGTTTTGCAATTGACTCAACAGCAATGGGTTTTAGTTTTACACAGGGAATATTAGTAATATTGTACTATTAAACATCTACTAGTTGCCTAGAGTATTTTGTATTGAGTTACTTTGCCCGCCCTGTGCTATATAGGCAACTTGATACACCCTAATAACACAACCCCATAATTTGTTGTAAATACCTTCCACTGTCTAAGTTGACATCTGAGTCACTATGGTTTCCAAATGAAGTACTTCTAGAAGCAGCCAAAGAGGTACAATAAGACAATAAATACCAGTCAAGGTAAGGAAATTTAAAAAAAAAAAGGAAGGGAGAGAGCGGGGGGTGGGCAAGGGGAAAGTATACAATATGTTGAAACATTTCAAATTTTGAATATTCTTGTTTTAATTCTGGGGGATTTTTTAAAAAAAAAATTATATCCATGTCCCTGATCAGCTCTGCAGGGAAATAAAAAGAAAAATGTTGTTGGGAAGAATGAGCCCTGGCGGCACATTTGTTAAGCGCTCAGCTGCTAACCGAAATGGTGGTGGTTTGAACCCACTAGCCTCTCCATGGGAAAAAGATGTGGCAGTCTGCTTCCCTTAAAGATTACAGCCTTGGAAACCCTATACAGCAGTTCTACTCTGTCCTATAGGGTCACTAGGAGTTGGAGTCAACGATGGCAACGGATTTTTTTTTTTTTTTGGGTGGGGGGTTATTGGGAAATACGGGATTCATGTGATTTCCTACAAAAATAAAATTCTGAGTGTCTAACGGTTAGTTCATTTAGAAAACACAGAGGCTGAGTACTAAACCATTTCTCTCTAATGTAAATAAAACATACAAGCGAAAAAAAAAAAAAAAGAAAAAGAATAAACAGACCCCAAGAACTAAATACTATTGGAAATGACACACTTAGGCAAGAAGGTACCCCTCACCCAAGCTCTTCATTGCCGGGACATGCTCTGGAGGGTATGACAGCCAGCTCTGTTGAAGGGAACGTTTTTGGTCATGGAGAGCCAGCCTTGGGTCTTCCCAGTAGACATCTCGGTGTTCTCAGGAAGCTTACTTACTTGGGCCGTGACTTTTTATGTGGTGCCTTTGGTTCTATTCATGAAAAACAATTGTTATTGATAAAAAGTAGAGATATTTGAATAATTTTAGAATTTCTTTCATAAATGAATTCATTAAATACATGGATTTGTCCCCAAATGAGTTCACTGATGATCCTTTCTCTAAATTCTACACTAAGTTTTGTCAACAATTATCTGATCAGGTGCTGTGTTCATTAGCATTTTTTCTCTTCTAAAATCCAAACTGTTTTGACTTTTTGTCCCGAGACTTGCATTTTTATGTAAGTGTGGGCTTATAATTTTTCTGTATTCTACACTTATGTTTTTATTCCTCACGTTCCTCTACTTCTTCCACGCTCTGCCTCACCTCAGCCCTCTTCGCCTCATTCCATTTTTCTGCAGTCCCTACTCCTTCGCTTTCATTCCCTTACTCTGTTTGTTTCTGCTTCTCCTTCAGGGAAAGATAAATTGTTCTGGGTCTCCTAGAATATCAATTCCCTTATGGGTTTACTCCCCAAACTGAAATATTACTCAATGATACTCAATGATGCCAAATATTATGCAGGAGTAAGAAATTTTTCTTTCCACTGTAATGTGTTAGAATTTAACTTTAATCATAAAATCTCTGCTAAATATATAAATCATCTGACATCTTTGGTTAATACACTTTATTTAAACAGCATAGGATCCATTTGATAGAAGAAGACACAATGCAAAATTAGATTGCAGTTTCTACTTCCTGAAAACAGGTATATATAAAAATGCTGCGTATTGGACACACCAAGAATCACATAAACTAGCCACCACCTGTGAATACACTAAATTTCTTAACGCCAAAAGACTGAAACAGTAAACAGAATATTATGAATTCCGACTGTTTAATCAGGACAAGGAGCCCTGGTGGAGCAGTGGTTAAGAGCTATGGAGAACTATGGCTGTTAACCAAAAGGTTGGCAGTTCGAATCCACCAGCTGCTCCTCAGAAACCCTATGGGGCGTTCTGTTCTGCCCTATAGGGTCGTTATGAGGGGGAATCGACTTGACGGCAATGGGTTTGGTTTGGTTTTTGGTTTAACCACGACAAGTCAAATTAAAACAGAAGAAAAAAATCCATCCATAAAAAATGTAAGAGAGAGAGTCATGTAAAAGGGAAAAGAGTACACCAAAAAAATCAACCATTAAAAAAGCCAATAAAGAGAATTTGGAAAGCTAAATAGCATTTCAAATTACCTCCAACCAACATAGACTTTTAAAGATAGATGATTTTTGTTTCTAAACTAACAATGACTTGTAGATAGCATGGATTTATGAAAAGTGCCTTGACTTCATATAAAGAAGATATATTTTAAAAGACTGGGATGTATGTAGAATACACATAGTGACAGGCAAAAGTGACCACAGAGTTGAATAACCTCCATGCCTTTGGTTCAAAGAAATCCCTTATTTCATATTTAATACAACTATTTCGTTTGTATTCACCAGCATTTCCCTTTTTACATGTCTCATGTTGTCTCTAGCTTACTTGCTCTCCTAATGCGTAGCTACACTTTGATGTGTACGTGAATCTCTGAGAGTACTAGTGAAGCTAATCATAAGCCAGTGGGTACTAATGAAGTTAGTCAGGAAGCCAGTCAGTCAACCAACATGAGTTGGTTGAGCATGTGTAGGAAAATGGTGCCACCCTAGAGTCTCAGCCTCCAACAAAGCAACAAGAAGACTTCATTGCACAAGTGATCTTCAGCCCCCTCACACAGCCTTCCTCCAGCACGGATGCGGAGAGACTTCCTGAGGGCTGTTCTTCCACTTGCAGACCTGTTCTGACAGATTTGTGCTGAATCACGGTGTCTCTGGTTTAAGAAAGCTTTGGCATAAGATGAAAGATAAAATTTGAAATGAAATGACTTATGAATCAGTCTCTTAGATCTTAACATTTAAAAATTGAGAAAAAAGAGTGAGGAGAGAAAATCTGCCAAAATTATGAATAAATCATTAGGTTGAACATTTGAAAAAGCTTCAGCTGGAGCTATCTTGGATCAAGTGCCCTAGATGGCCAAAGAGTCAGGAGTGAACACTTGTGATTAATTTTATGGGAATAATTAAAATTTCAGAGTAGAAATCATACATTTCTATATGGAGAATAATATGCTTCAAAGTAGAAAGCCAGATATTATCTGAGAAGTAAAATTTAAATGTTTTTGTAAGTTGTTGTCTGGAAGCAAGTATTTTATTTAGGAATTAATTGTTTCTAAAGAACCATAAAAGCAGTGGACAGCAACTTGTGCATTCTCAGATTTTCCCTATTGAAACATAGAATTTTCTAGAAAAGAACCATCCCTCCACTTCCGTGACTGTTCTATAGAATTTTCACAACACATGCAACACTCTCTATCTCCATACTGATAAGCATTTTTAATATAGACAACAAAACCAATCGAGCAAGCAGTAATGACAATAATTATTAAAACAAAAAGAAGATTTGCTTCCAGTTTTAATTAGCAATTTTATCTGGGTCAGAATTTGCTTACGTCAGATGCTGGCAC